GGAGGGGAGGGGAGGGGAGGAGAAAAAGGGGAGGGGAGGGGAGGGGAGGGGGATTGAAAATGGTGATGAAGAACGTGAGCCCCATGGTTAAGCAACCATTTACCTGGAACCAGGTAAGGACAGCTCACAGGGCAGGAGGCAGCTCTGGAGGTCCTGGGAAGGGTTTAAAGGGACAGGATGGCAGGCAGGAGTCATCCTGGGGCAAGTGAGAGTCACAGCTTGACCTCGATCAATCCTGACTCAGAGGTCCACGTGAGCTCTCTGTGTGCTAGGCCCTCACAGGGCGCAGAGGACACTGGTGTGGATGAGAAGGGTGCTGGGGCCAGGCGCGGTAGCTCACACCTGTAATCCCAGCACTTCAGGAGGTGGGGAGTTCGAGACCAGCCTGACCAATATAGAGAAATCCTGTCTCTACTAAAAATACAAAATTAGCCGGGCGTGATGGTGCATGCCTGTAATCCCAGCTACCCCGGAGGCTGAGGTAGGAGAATCTCTTGAACCCAGGAGGCAGAGATTGCAGTGAGCCAAGATTGTGCCATTGTACTCCAGCCTGGGCAGCAAGAGCAAAACTCCATCTCAGAAAAAAAAAAAAAAAAGAAAAAAAAAAGTAAAAGGGCAGGGGACGGAGCCCTAAAGTACACTCCAGGTGACCCAAGGGTGGTTCTCTCTGCTCACAGCACTGCCTGCTCCCCTGACATCCTCCCTCAAGTTCGTCTCAGCCTGAGCTTCTCTAACTGTCCGTTCTCACTGGGTGGGCTCACGCATGTCTGCAGGCCAGGGGAGCCACAGTCAGGGGCTAGAAAACATAAGGAGATAATGGAGATGGAGGACCAGCACGGTGGCCAGTGGGGAGCGAGAGCCTGTGGTGCGATCTCCATCCCTTGGTTCTTGAGCTCCCGGCTCTGGGGCCACCGGTCCTGCCCTGTTGGCTGCCAGAGAGCTGCTTTCAGAACGGTCCCAGTGAAAGCACAGGGCATTTGACAAATCAATTTAATGCAGCCACAGGTACCAAAAGCAATATCAGTTGTCTAGGTATCTTAAAAACATTACACTACGTGAAACAAGCCAGACCCAAAAGAACAAATACTGTATGGTTCCATTTACATGGAACACCCAGAGGAGTCAAATTCACAGAGACAGAGAGCAGAACAGTTGTTATCAGGGGCTGGGGAAGGAGCTACTCAACAGTACATTTTTAGTTTTCAAAAATTTTTTTGAGATGGAGTCTTACTGTGTTGCTCAGGCTGGAGTGCAATGGCACGATCTCGGCTCATTACAACCTCCACCTCCTGGGTTCGAGAGATCCTCCTGCCTCAGCCTCCTGAGTAGCTGGGATTACAAGTGCCCGCCACCATGCCCAGCTAATTTTTGTATTTTTAGTAGAGACAGGGTTTTGCCATGTTGGCCAGACTAGTCTTGAACTCCTGACCTCAGGTGATCCACCTGCCTCGGCCTCCCAAAATGCTGGGATTACAGGCGTGAGCCACTGTGCCTGGCCTCAGCAATACATTTGATGGGTACAATTTCCGTCTGGGATGACGACAAAGTTCTAGAGATGGATGGAGACGGTTGGTGCACAGCTGCACAACACTGCAAATGTACTTCCTGACGCTGAGTGATTCGCTTAGAAATGGTTAAAATGGCAAATTTTATGTTATATATATTTTACCATAATAAAAATTAATACTGTAATATGACAAAAGTCATTGAATTGTACTTTATTTTTTAAAACTGCTTTTGAGACAGGGCCTGGCTCTGTTGTCCAAGCTGGAGTGCAGTGGTGAAATCTCGGCTCACTGCAGCCCCCACCTCCTAGGCTCAAACTGTCCTCCCACCTCAGCCTCCAGGGTAGCTGGGATCACAGGTGCATGCCACCACACCCAGCTAATTTTTGTAGAGATGGGGGTCTCACTATGTTGCTTAGGCTGGTCTTGAACTCCTGGGCTGAAGCAACCTGCCCACCTTGGTTTCCCAAAGTGCTGGGATTACAGGCATGAGCGACCACACCCAGCCAAATTGTACACTTTAAATGGGGGAACTGTCAGGTATATGAGTAGTATCTCAATAAAGCTGCTTTAAAAAAAAAAATCAGAGTCGAGGATGTCTCTGAGTCCCAGAGCAGGAAAGAACGCAGGAAGCCTGGGAATAGGGGTGGCTGTACACGGATCTGCTTCGCACGTAATGATGACATTTCTTTTCAAGACTGGAAGTTTCATCGAGGCTTTAACAGAATCACCCAGGGAACCTGTTCACCTATCACTAACCCAGGCCCAAAATCTCAATGGCCCAAATTCTGCTGGCAATGTGCAGCAGCCTGGGGCTGTGTCTATGGGGCTAAGGGACTCCGTGTCCCCAGAGGCCATGCCTGCTGCCCATAAGCTGGGCTCTCCTTCACCTGCCACACCCTAAACCCGAGGCCTTAACCCCAGAGTCCAGGGCAGAGTCACAGCATTGCAGCTTGGCCCTCCATGGGGCACAGCTCAGGGCGGAGTCACTCACCTCTCTGGCCCGGGGGGCAGTGGGTGCACACCACCTCCCCGCTCTCCGGGATGGTTGTGCAGGCCGACCCGCCAGGGCAGGGACAGGGCCGGCAGTCGTTGGCTTGGCCTGCAAAGGGGTTGCCATAGAAACCTGGCAAGCAGCGCTCACAGGACAGGCCCTCGGTGTGGTGGCCGCACACGCAGATCCCTGAGGGCAAGACAAGCACCTGGTTACAACTGTCTGAACCCAGAATGCCCAGAGATGGTGAGCATCCTGGCGGGAGAGGTCAGGGGGCACACCCCAGGTAGGTGGCGTGGGAACTTGCCCAGGTGGGGGCAGCAGGGCCTGGGGACTGAGAGTCCAGGCCTGGAGCTGGACCACACAGTTCCCGTCCCCCACTTACTGCCTGTGCAAAGCTGGGCAAGTTGTGTAATGGCCCCACACCTCAGTGTCCTCGTTTGCAAAATGGGAACAACTGCAGCACTGACTTCGAAGGGTTCTTGTCGGGGTCCAACCAGACCATGCATTCAAAGTACCCTGCACACACCATCATCAGTGCTTATTATTGTGATTTGAGATGGAGTCTGGCTCTGTCACCCAGGCTGGAGTGCAGTGGCACAATCTCGGCTCACTGCAACCTCCACCTTCCAGGTTCAAGCGATTCTCCTGCCTCAGCCTCCCAAGTAGCTGCATTACAGGTGTGCGTCACTTGGCCAATTTTAGTATTTTTAGTAGAGACGGAGTTTCACCATGTTGGCCAGGCTGGTCTCAAACTCCTGACCTCAAGCAATCTGCGGGCCTCGGCCTTCCAAAGTGCTGGGATTACAGGCATGAGCCGCCGCGCCCGGCCAGCACTGTCATTATTTTGTATTCCAAAACCTCTCTCTGAACAAACAGGTGACATAGCTACCATTCACTACACTGTTGTCCCCTTAACTCCAAGGGGACAAAAGGAAGAGCAGCTTTCCCTAAGGGAGACACAGACCCAGAATTGTGGCCTTCACATGACTTTGCGAAGAGGCTCCCCTTTCCGGGGTTTGGGATGCACAGGGGATACCTAGTCTCAGAGGAGGGAACCCCTGTCCCTGCCCTCTGACTCCTGATGGTGGTGGTTTCTGCAAATTCTTCTTCCCCAGGCTGACCACAGCTGGCATCTGCTCAGAGCCTGGTGTGCTTGGGAACGGAGGCCCACTGGCAGGGATTGAGTGAGAAGCCTGGCTGAGAAGGGGTTAATTAAGACCATCACTTCCAGGAGGTCCCAGGAAGGGCAAGCACAGCCACATGCCACACACCACATGCCACACACAGGGCACTGTCTCTTCTTGTGTCCATGGCAGGCATTGATAATCGAGCCCAGATGAGGCCACATAATCCCTCCCCCCTGCAATGCAGCCAAGGCACAGGTGACCTGGGAGAAACAGTGAGGACCGGCCGCACATGCACAGCAGGGCTGGCATCCAAGGGGAACTGTCCCAGCCTCAGCCCAGCACCCATAGGCTCACTCCTCCTCCCAGCCTCGGCAGCGGGGCTATGCTGCCCATTTCACAGATGAGGACTTGCCCAAGCTGAGTGGGAAGTGTGGCAGGGCCAGAGGCTCTGTGGAGATGACAAATTGGTCCCAGACATGGGAGGACTCTGCTGCCTCCAAAGGGGCTGTGGGAAGCACTGCAGTGGGGAGGGATTATGTGGCCTTGCCCAGGCTCGATTATTGATGCCTGCCATGGACACAAGAAAAGACGGTACCCTCTGTGTGGCATGTGGCTCTGCTTGCCCTCCCTGGCTAGTTTGGCTAACATCTTTTTTTTTTTTTGAGATGGCATCTCAGTCTATTGCCCAGGCTGGAGTGCAGTGGTGCAATCCCAGCTCACTACAACCTCTGCCTCCTGGGTTCAAGTGATTCTCCTGCCTCAGCCTCCTGAGTAGCTGGGATTACAGGTGTGCGCCACCATGCCTGGCTAATTTTGTATTTTTAGTAGAGACGGGGTTTCACCATTTTGGTCAGGCTGGTCTCGATCTCCTAACCTTAGATGATCCACCCACCTTGGCCACTCGAAGTACTGGGTGTGCCCAGCTACTGTCTTTCAGGAAGAAAAATGCTCAGCAGCCTTCTTCTCAGAGAGCCCTCACCCGCTCTGGGGAGGCAGCAGGCGTGTAGGCATGAGGCCGTCAGTGTGGGAGTGCAGAGAGGCCTGGGTCCAGCCTCCTCAGGCACCTCCTGGCCACATGACTTTGAGTGAGGCCAGGTCTGCTACTACAGAAGTGAGGATCAGTGGGCCGGACACGGTGGCTCAAGCCTGTAATCCCAGCACTTTGGGAGGCTGAGGCGGGAAGATCACTTGAGTCAGGGGTTTGAGACCAGCCTCAACACGGTGAAACCCCATCTCTACTAAAAATACAAAAATCAGCTGAGTATGGTGATGGGCATCTGCAATCCTAGCTGAGGTGGGAGGATCTCTTGAACCCAGCAGGAGGCTGCAGTCAGCCAAGATTGCACCACTGCAGTCCAGCCTGGATGACAGAGTGAGACTCTTTCGCCCCCCTCCCCGCCCCACAAAAAATAAAATAAAATATAAAACAGAATAAAATAAAAAGAAGTGAGAATGAGTAGCCAGTAGTGACCAGGCCCTGGGAGTCCAGGCTGGAGGGAGGCGCAGCTCTGCCACCTGCTGGCCATGCAGGCACCCTGCAGCGTGGGGCCCTCACCTGTGAGATGGGACGGGAAGGGTCCCGACCCCTGCAGGGATGTCTGCGGGAGTCAACAATGTATAGAGGAGGGTGACTAGCACAGGCAGAAAAGGGGACACTCTTTTATTATTTCCCAAGTGTCCTGAAAAGTAGAGCCCTTCATTGTCTGCATTTCCCTAAGGCCCTCCCAGTTAGCTACAGCGGAGCTCCAGTGCAACCCAGGTCTCTGTTTTCAGAGCCTGAGTGTCTCCTGACCTCCATGTGGCTTTGTGTAGAAACAGAGGCAGTGTGTACACTGTCATCATCCCCACCTTAAGAAGAGGAAGCAGGCTCAGGGAGGGAAGTGACTTTCCCAAGGCCACTAAAGGGTGAGAGTGGCAGGTCTACAACTCTGGATTGGTGCTTATGAGCTGCTGTCACCTGTGTGACCCTCATGAGAACCCTTCGGTTGTCACCTGCCATGCTGATGCCTCTGCCCTTTCTCGAAGCTCCCTCTGCATATAAGGACCCCCAAGGTGTTTCCCTGGTCCTTCCTGGGAGAAGGGCCAGCCTGGGGAGAAGGTGGTGCATGGACAGACAGCCCGCAGAGCAGCTGGCTTACGGCTCTCACCAAATGGATACAAGGTCCTTGGCACAGAGCCCGAGGCTTCGATAAATTCCAGTGGTAACTTTTATTAAAATATGAGACGCCCAGGCAATAACAGCACGGGCGAGCTCAGTGCCCACACTTCCCCACAGCTTGGCCAACCCCTCAATGCCTGTGCCAAGATGGCCCTGATCAGGTCAGTACTCACCTCACTTTTCTGGGTACAGCCGAGATGCCTTGGGATGGGGTGCCCGGAGACTCACCTGTGTTGGGGTCACAGGTGCCATGCTGGTTACAGGTGCAGGGGACACAGCTGGCATAGGGACCCCCTCGTGGTGTCTCTCTCTTGTACCCTGGAGCACATGATTCACAGAACTGGCCCGTGTAGCCGTTGGGACATGAACAAGTCTCCACCCAGGAGGCTGGCGGGGAAAGCCCCCGCCGGGCGGATGTGAGCCGGACCTCAGTCAAGAACACTTGGCCTGCAGAGCAAGAAGGGAGAGAGAGAGGCAGAAGCTCCTGCATGTGCTTCCCCCAAAAACCTTCCTGTCACATATGGACCAGGCCCACGTACATACAGGCAGCCTGGGAATCAATGATAATTTTTAAAATTTATTTTTTGAGGCAGATTCTCGTTCTGTCACTCAGGCTGGAGGGCAGTGGTGCAATCCTAGCTCACTGCAGCCTCGACTTCCCAGGCTCCAGTGATCCTACCACGTCACCCTCCCAAAGTAGACTGGCAGGCAAGCCACCAAGCCCAGCTAATTTTAAAATTATTTTTAGAGATGGGGTTTCTCCATGTTGCCCAGGCTGGTCTCGAACTCCTGGCCTCAAGTAATCCTCCTGCCTCGGCCTCCCAAAGTGCTGGGATTGCATGTGTGAGCACTGTGCCAGTTGACTTTTTTTAAAAAAATGGTCAATTCAAGCGTAAGGAAGTTGAATCGGCAGTTTTCAAGAAGAAATAGACATGGCTGAGAATTTTACAGAAAGGTATCCACTCCACAGGTTATCAAAGAAATTTAAACAACGATACCACTCACACCTCTCAGACTGGTAACATTTTATAGATTAATTTTCGTGCGGGATAGGACATAGGAATCTCATCTGGCTTGCTCATAACTGAATGCTACATTTAGGCAAAGTTTAAGGTCTATTTCTAAAGTTTTAAGATTTGTTGTTGTTGTTCTTGTTTGTTTTTGAGAGAGGCAGGGTCTTGCTCTGTCACGCAGGGGAGTGCAGTGAACTCCTGCCTCAAATGACCCTTCTGCCTCAGCCTCCCAAGTAGCTGGACCAAAGGTATGTGCCACCACGCCCAGCTCAATTTTAAATTTTTTGTAGAAAAAAGGTTTTGCCATGTTGCCCAGGCTGGTTTTGAACTCCTGGCCTCAAAGAAAATGAACATTTTGCATTTAGGTAAACTATGACGTATACATTTTAAAAATAAAGAAATCTGATATTTGAAAAAAAAACGAGGTGGATGTATGAATACAAATCGGGAGGCTTTGCCTCCAGTAACAGAGGAGTGGGATCCTAGCAGATCAACCTTCCCACAGAAAACACCTAGAAACTCCGGGCAAAATAGGAAAATGACCATCTGTAGACACAGAAAACGGGCAGATTAGAGGCAGCTGACGCGCCTCATCGGAGCAGGCCTTCTGAAGGCAAATTCGGCAGCGTGGATCAACACGGCAAACGCTCCGCTTTGACCTAACATTTCCATTTCCAACGCTCTGACCTAAAGCAACGCTTGTACTGGAATACCAAGGCCTTTCTATGAGGCTGGTCCCTACTCCCTGTGACACGGTTGTAATGGGGAAAACTAACCATCTGAGCCAGAGGTTCTCAGAAGGAGCAAAATCTCCCTCCCCGGAAGCAAATCTGAGGACATGTTGGTTGTCATGCGGATGAAGAGGCCTAAAGTTCCCAGAAACTCCCCACGTGACTTTCAAATGTCCTGCTTGGTGCTGGAAGGGTAGAAAAACCCCACTGTAAACATCTGAGCCTAGACCTCCCTTCATTTTACACATAGACACTTGGGTTTTTGGTTTTTTTTTAGAGACAAGGTCTCGCTCTGTCACCCAGGCTGAGGTGTGGTGGTGTAATCACTACAGTTTTGACCTCCTGGGCTCAAGTGGTCCTCTAGCCTTAGCCTCCCGAGTAGCTTGGACTACAGGTGTGGGCCACCACACCAGGCTGGTTTTTTGTTGTTTTGAGACGGAGTCTGGCTCTGTCGCCCAGTCTGGAGTACAGCAGTACAATCTTGGCTCACTGCAACCTCCACCTCTTGGGTTTAAGCGATTCTCCTGCCTCAGCCCCCCAAGTAGCTGGGATTACAGACGCCTGCTACCACGCCCAGCTAATTTTTGTATTTTTAGTAGAGACGGGGTTTCACCACATTGGCCAGGCTGGTCTCGAACTCCTGACCTCAGATGATCCCTCTGCGTCAGCCTCCCAAATTGCCCAAAGGAATTACAGGCGTGAGCCACCTCGCCCAACCTGACTTAGTTTCAAAACATTTTTTTTTGTAGAGATGAGGTCTTGGTTTGTTGCCAAAGGCTGGTCTGGAACTCCAGCCCTCAAATGATCCCTCCTGCCTCAACCTCCCAAGGTGCTGGGATTATAGGCGCGAGCTACTGCACCCGGCCTCCGCGGTATTTTTGAACATTTTAAGTGCACAGGGCATTGTTCAGGGATGCAGAGGTCATGTTGACGGAGGGAACGCCGTGCTTTGCTTCATTCAGAATTTTCCCTACAGTCACTCACCCACAATGGCACCCTGGCCCCGGGGTTTCCGTCACCATCGTCATCACACTGCCTCCCATCGGCAACCTGCTCTGTAGCTTCCCCACCCATGGTGATCCAGCAAATCTTCCCCCTTAGTTATGATTCCAAAATGGCAAACACAAAGGACTCAAAGAGTAAGGGTCATCATATTCAGCTGAATGTCTGAAATTCGGTTTCATAGCTTCACTCACAGATCAACACTTCCTCTGCCAAGTGTCTTCCCCAATGGAGCAATAAAACAAAACCACCGAGGCTTAAATAAGCCTTTTAAAAGAAGCGCGTCATGGGCCAGGCACGGTGGCTCACGCCTGTTATCCCAGCACTTTGGGAGGCCGAGGTGGACGGATCACCCGAGGTCAGGAGTTTGAGACCAGGCTGGCCAACATGGAGAAACCCCGTCTCTACCAGAAATACAAAAATCAGCCAGGCGTGGTGGCACATGCCTGTAATCTCAGCTACTCTGGAGGCTGAAGCAGGAGAATCCCTTTGAACCAGGAGGCGGAGGTTACAGCGAGCTGAGATCGCACCACTGCACTCCAACCTGGGCGACAACAGTGAAACTGTCTCAAAAAATAAAATAATAAATAAATAAATAAATAAATAAAATAAAAGAAGTGGCTGGGTGTGGTAGCTCATGCCTGTAATCACAGTACTTTGGGAGGTCTAGGCAGGCAGATCATAAGTTTGGGTGTTTGAGACCAGCCTAGCCAACATAGTGAAACCCCGTCTCTACTAAAAATACAAAAAAATTAGCTGGGCATGGTGGCACACGCCTGTAATCCCAGCTACTCAGGAGGCTGAGGAAGGAGGATCGCTTGAACCTGGAAGGTGGAGGTTGCAGTGAGCTGAGATTGCACCACTGCACTGCAGCCTGGGCGACAGAGCAAGACTCCATCTCAAAATAAATAGAATGGAATGGAAAGGAATGGAAGCAGCACACTACGAGGTGGGGGAGCTGCATGACTCACGCTCACCGTGCTCTGGCCTGTGACTGGGAGAGCCCGCCTAGCTCCATTCCCAGCCACTGTCCTCACTGAGGGACCCTGCTGACACTGCCCACATGAGCCGGCCTGTTCCCGCTGCTCTCAACCCTGGTTTGTATTCCTGCGTTAGCCATCCACGGCGCTGTCTGCACTGCCTGCCCTCTGTGTAAACAGCTTCTGAGCATCTTACTTCTCCTAAAACCAAATTTAATCCTGACAGCAGGGAAGGTCTCACCACTTCCTCATGTCTTCTAGTGCGGTCGCGTCTGAGCACTGACAATTTGGAATTCAGAGGATTGTATGTGACATCATTGCTTTTCCTTTTATGTATTCTGTACATTACAGTTAGGATATCGTGGGCTCGGGCATGGTAGCTCACACCTGTAATCCCAGTACTGTGAGGACAGTGGGATTGCCTGAGCCCCGGAGTCTGAGAGCTGCCTGGGCACACACAGTGAGACCTTGTCTACAAAAAAAAAAAAAAAAAAAAAAGAATTATTTGTATAATCCAGCTAGGGTATGGCAGTGTGCGTCTGCGGTCCCACCTACGTGGGGAGCTGAGGTGGGAGGGCTGCTTGAGCTGAAGAGGTCAAGGCTGCCACGAGCCATGAGGCTTCCACTGCACTCCAGCCTGGGCGATGGGGCAAGCCCCTGCCCCTCATCCCCCACTCCCCCCAAAAAAGTACATTATACTAATTCTTAAAATAGCGTGCGGGTAGGTTATAAGGAGGAACAGATCAGAGGCTAGGGCTGTCAATCACTGTGGCCAGGGTGGGGGTGGTGACAGATCCCATCAATAACCCATGGTGGCCCGGCCCCCTCTTAGGGAAGGCTTAGGTACAATACCGCCAGTGACCAGCAGGGGAGTCGCTCTCCCAGGGGACTAGGCTGCCGGCTGTGTGCTGCGTCTAGCAGGGACAGAGGACTTGGTGGATTCAGTGAAGGTGGAGTGACCACACCCAATGGGTCTGGGTGGCTTGCTGGCCGCATACCTGCCTCTGAGACCCTTGCCCGTCCAGTCCCTGCCTCTGACCTCAGCCGCCATCCCCACTGCCTCCACAACTGCCAGAGGTTATAGGACCTGCAGCAATTGTCCTGATCTGTGACTCAGATTCCTTCTTGGCAAAACGGGACAACAACCGTCCAGCCGTGAGGCCCCGACAAGGCTGTGCACGCAGGAGCCCAGTTCTGAGACCTGCAGTGCTCGGGTCTTGGGCACGTCTTTGTCTTTACTGACCGGTAGGGTTGGGGCCGGGGCTGACGCGGAGGCGAAGGCTGGTGAGGTTGGCGAGGAGCCGCTGGAAGTGGAAGGGGGGCAGTGGAGGGGTCACGTCCTCGGAGGTCTCCTGCAGGCTGGCGGGAAAAGCGGTCAAAGCAAGATCCCGACATAGGGTGGTGGTACCATGACTGGGGAGGGGGTGCAGCCCCCCCAGACCACAGGGGCATCCGAAATGTGCCTGGACCTCAGAGACCACCCCTCCACCTCCCCATCTCTCAAGATAGAAGCGGATACTTACTGGAACCTGAGCTCCACCTCCCTGGGGTGCCCGGCATCCTGGGGGCCAGAGGGGCTAGAGTGCCTCAGGGACAGGGCCAAGCCCGCCCCTTCCAGCCTCAGCTGCACAGGGAGTGGGGAGCCCCCAGGGGGCACCTGGAAGGTCAGGATGAGGGTCTGCCCATAGCTGAACCGCTGGTCTCCCAGGAACTTATCTGAAGACAAGAGAAGAAGGCTTTGACAATCTTCATACAGTTAGCTTGATTTTAAATGTCTATATTGATTTTATCGGCAGCTAAACATTCAAACAAGATAAAACTGCAGTGGGTAGAAAATCAAAAGCTCCCTGCACAGCAGACCCCGCAGGGAGCCAGCCCACACCTCAGCAGCCCGTCCCCGGCTTCACAGGCGTGTGACCTGTGCAGTCACACATGTCCCCACACTTGGCTTCATGCTCTGCTGTGACCATCTTCACATTCTTAATAATTTTATCTTCTTCTTCTTTTTTTTTTTGAGACAGTCTCGCTCTGTCACCGAGGCTGGAGTGCAGTGGCATGATCTCGGGTCACTGCAGCCTCTGCCTCTCAGGTTCAAGCCATCTTCACTCAGCACCTGGCCTTTGCCCCCCTGAATATGGGGGTCCATGGGCAGAATACAGAAAGTGGATGTGCTGGCCAGAGGCTTTGTGTTTCATTCCCTCTGATGCTGTTTCCAGCCAGCCCGGAGGCTTGTTTCTGTGTCCCCTCCAAGAGCAACGGGCAGAAGCCTGGCTCCCCTGCCATGCCCTCACGTCCAGCTGCTCAGGGTGCCCTGGAGCGGGCTGGGCTGAGAGCACCGTGAGGACAGGCCGTCCGTCCAGCTCACTCCTGCGGTGTGGCCAGCACCATCACGCACTTCTTGCAGGAATAAGCCCTTTCTTTCACACATGCCAGCAAAGTGGCCATGGGACACAGTGTGTTTTCTGCTCACAGGCCTCTGAGCTTGGAGCACCTGCCCCAAGAGGGGCCCGCGGAGGCCTTTGGCTTCCTGGCTGTGGGGCACACGGCTCCAAAGACATCTGTGACATCATCTCCCCGGCCTCCCTGGGAGTGGGAGGGAAAGGGCAGAGCTGGTCAAAGGAACTGGCAGGACCTGAATCAGCCACAGCAGGGCTAAAGATGGGCTCTAGGCTCTGAGTGCTGGGACTGAGATGGTCACCAGCAGACCACAGTTCCCCTCATTGGGCAGGTGGAGAGGTCAGAATTATCAAGAACCTCCTTCCTTTTGCAAGAATCCATGGCCCTGGGCTTGGGGTGCTGTGGCCAGGCGGGTGAAGGGCTGATGGGAAATACAGAGATTCTCTAGGGTGTGACAGTGGCTATGGCTCTGTGGCATTGAAGAAGCCCTAGGTGACAAAGCTATGACCAGAAGAACAGGGCTTTCATCAGATACTGTGGTCTGATGGCAGAACAGCTGCCTCCCAAAGGCAGCTACATCCGAATCCCTGGAATCTGTAAATATGGTGTGTTTTGTGGCCAGGGGATGTTAAGGTTGTCAGTCAACTGACCTGAGGGAGGAAGAGCATCCTGGGTTATCCACCTGGGCGTCATCAATCATTAGAGATCAATGGTAAATACGCAAGAGGGCGCAGGGGAGCTGTACCAGCGATGGGGCAGGAGACAAGCTCGGCTGCTTTGAAGATGGAGGAAGGGGCCTTGAGCCCAGGGATGCAGGCAGCTCCTGGAAGCTGGGAAAGCAGGCTGGGCACGGTGCTTACACTTGTAATCCCAGCACTTTGGGAGGCTGAGTCGGGTGGATCACAAGGTCAGCAGATCAAGACCAGCCTGCCCAATATGGCGAAACCCCATCTCTACTAAAAATACAAAAATTAGCCAGGCATGGTGGCAGGCGCCTGTAATCCCAGATAATCGGGAGGCTGAGGCAGGAGAATTGCTTGAATCTGGGAGGCGGAGGTTGCAGTGAGCCGAGATCGCGCCACTGCACTCCAGCCTGAGCAACAAGAGCAAAACTCCATCTCAGAAGCTGGGAAGGAACTTTCCCCTGGGCCTCCAGAAGGAGCTCAGCCCTGCTGACACCTCGAGACCCATTTCTGACTTCTCCAGAACTCTAAGAGAATAACCCAGCACTGCTTTCAGCCTCGAATGTGTGGCAGGTTGTTTAGCAGCAGGAGGAACCGACACAGGGCAGTCAGCCCCCACTTGGCGCTGGAGGTACCTGGCGCTGTGAGCTCCTCCTCATCTTCTGGGCTCAGGAAGACCCCGCTCGGGCTCCATTGCGGGGGTTGCTTGGAGCTCCCCCCACTTCTGGCCCGCCAGCCTTCGGCTCCTAGACAGCAAACACAGACACTCCCCGATCAGTGTGGGGCCCCGGCGGGTGGTCTCCAGGTGCCAGCCCCAGCAGGGGCCTTGGGGTGGGAAGGAGCCCCAGGAGAAGCTAGAAAGCTCAGGGACCTGGTTCTGCTTGGGGCATGGTCTGACCTGGAAGCGTGCCCTGCCCTTTCGGTGAGATTTTGAGCTCCACATGAAGACAGCTTGGGGGCCCCACATGGGGGCCCTGGGACATCAGGGCCATTTCTAATAGTACCAGACTTGACCTTGTCTTCAGGTTCTCAGAGATCTTTGTCACCCGTAACCTCATGACCCTGTCCTTCAGTGACCCGTGTCATTAACACCACCGCAGGCAAGGAGGCCACCTGGCTAGGAAGGAGCCCAGCCAGGATGGGAGCCTGGGCCTTCTGGTCCCCAGTGCCAGTTCAGTGCCTCCTCCCTCTGGCCACAGCAGTTAACATGGAGCACAGCCCAGCACACAGCGAGTGACCTCAAGGGAATACCTCTCCAGGGGGCAGCTGGGCAATGGGGCAGAGGCAAACACCTGGGGCAGCCGAGGGGTAGGAAGGGAGGGACACAGCGGGGAAAGAGGCCAGAGAAAGGAAGATGTCAACATGAAGAGAAGCTTGCAAACAGGCACCTAGAAGGAACTGGGAGGCCAGGCATGGTGGCTCACGCCTGGAATTCCAGCACTCTGGGAGGCCAAGGCAGGTGGATTACCTGAGGTCAGAAGTTCAAGACCAGCCTGGCCAACACAGTGAAACCCCATCTCTGCTAAAAATACAAACATTAGCCCAGCATGGTGGCCAGTACCTGTCATCCCAGGAGGCGGAGGTTGCAGTGAGCTGAGATTGAGCTACTGCACTTCAGCCTGGGTAAGAGAGCAAGACTCCAACTCAAAGACCAAAAAAAAAAAAAACAACCAACCAAACAAAAAACACTCCGTTTTCATTTTTCTTTTTCTTTTTTTTTTTTTTTGAGACAGAGTCTCACTCACTCTGTCACCCAGGCTGGAGTGTAGTGGTGTGTAACCTCCGCCTCCCAGGTTCAAGCAATTCTCCTGCCTCGGCCTCCCAAGTAGCTGGGATTACAGGCGCCAGCCATCACGCCTGGCTAAGTTTTGTATTTTTGGCAGAGACAGGGTTTTGCCATGTTGGCGAGGCTGGTCTCGAACTCCTGACCTCATGTGATCCACTCACCTTGGCCTCCCAGCGTGCTGGGATTATAGGCATGAGCCACCATACCTGGCCACAGTTTTCATTTCTAAGACAGCAAATATCCATATAAACCACCCACGTAAACAAAAGCACTTTGGAGTCCTCAATAATTTTCAAGAGCATAAAGGTATCCAGAGGCCGGATGCCATGGCTCATGCCTGTAATCCCAGCACTCTGGGAGGCCAAGGAGGGTGGATCACTTGAGGTCAGGAGTTCAAGACCAGCCTGGCCAACATGGTGAAATCCCTGATCTGTACAAAAACTAAAAAAATAAGCTGGCACGGTGGTGGGCACCTGCAGTCCCAGCTACTTGGGAGGCTGAGGCAGGAAAACCACTTGAACCTGGAAGGCGGAGGTTGTAGTGAGCTGAGATCACACCACTGCACTCCAGCCTGGGCAACACAGCAAGACACCATCTCAAAAAAAGGAAAAGGAATCCAGAGACCAAAAAGTTTGAGACTGCAAGGGCGGCTGTGAGACAAAATGAGATGACACCTCTGAAGGGCTGGTCACACCCAGTGCCTGGCCTAAGATGAGAACGGATCATGACACTGTTCTTAGGGTCTAGAAAATGAGTCCTGCCCAGGCCGGGCGCGGTGGCTCACGCCTGTAATCCCGGCACTTTGGGAGGCCGAGGCGGGTGGATCACGAGGTCAGGAGATCAAGACCAGCCTGGGCAACACGGTGAAACCCCGTCTCTACTAAAATACAAAACATTAACTGGGCGTGGTGGCGGACACCTGTAGTCCCAGCTAGTCAGGAGGTTGAGTTAGGAGAATTGCTTGAACTCAGGAGGCAGATGTTGCAGTGAGCGGAGACTGTGCCACTGCACTCCAGCCTGGGCGAAAGAGCGAGATTCCGTCTCATTAAAAAAAAAAAAAAAAAAAAAAAAAACAAACTGCCTAGTTAACACACTAGACCCCGGGACCTTCTTGGTCCTGCTTTCTGCACAGCTCCCAGCAGAGGGCGCGCGGCCCTCATGTCTGGAGCGCCCCAGTGCCGGCCCTGAGGTTCTGTCCCAGCTGACGCCTCGCTCCTTCCTTGGGAGAGGCTGAAGGTGGGGGGGTGCTCCGTGGGACATGGCCGGAGCCCACGCAGCCTCTGGGTTAATGTAGAGCTCTGAGCTCTGTTGCTTTCCCCTCTAAAGATGCGGCTGTGTCACCTGGAGTCGGGGACCACGGTGGAGGCCGCCACGATGGCTAAGAGCAAAACACAGCTGGGGGCGAAGGCCCATAATCCCAGCACTTTGGGAAGCAGGGGTGGGCGGATCACTTGAGTTCAGGAGTTCTAGACCAGCCTGGGCAACATGGTAAGACCCTGTCTCTACAAAGAAAAAATACAAAAATTAGCTGGGCATGGTGATGCATGCCTGTAGCCCCAGCACTTTGGGAGGCAGAGGTGGGCAGATCACTTGAGCCCAGGAGATTGAGACCAGCCTGGGAAACATGGCAAAACCCTGTTTCTACAAAAAAATGTAAAAATTAGCCAGTACGGCGGTGCACACCTGTGGTCCCAGCTACTCAGGAGGCTGAGGGGGGAGGATCATGTGAACCCAGGGAGTTGGAGGCTGCATCAAGCGTGTGTGATTGCACCACGCTACTCCAGCCTGAGTGACAGAGCAAGACCCCGTCCGTCTCAAAAAAGGAGCAAAACTTGGGAGCTGACGAACGCAGCGCTCACAACTAAGTTGTGTGACCTCAGGCAAGTGGCCTACCTTGTGTGGGTCTCAGTCACTTCATCTGTAAAAGCAGAATGAGAGTCCTTGCATGTAAGGAGCTCAGCACAGTGCCTGGCATACAGCAGGTGTTCAATAAGTGGAGGCCAGGAGACTGAGCCTGAATCCCCAGTGTTTAGATACAGCCAGGGAGGCCAGTCTCGACAGGGTGAGTGGAAATTCCCCTATGGGATCCAAGGAGGGTCACGTACCCGGCCCCCACCCCCACCACGAGTATAAAGAGAAGAGTCAGGGACTGGAGAGGGAGCTGGGCCGCAGGTGGGCCCTGGGGAGCGGGCCCCTCACACTCAACCCCACCTGGGCTTTGCAGGCCCGTGGCTCCTCTCCAAGATGGGGGATCCACCAAGGCAGGATCTGCCCAGAGTGGGACTGCCTGTCACTAGGCTGGGAGCAGACCCTGGGGAGGCGTGTGCAGGGGGCACCTCTTACCCTGGTGGAAATCGGTGAGGATGTGATGCACCCGGAACTGGGCGGCGGCCGTGCACACCTTGGAGTGGCCGTAGCAGAAGCAGCTGCTGCAGCCGGTCGGGTTGTGGGGCTGCAGGTTAAAGGTCCCAGGGCGACATCTGAAATGGAGGCAGGACATGCCCATGAGGGCCACATGAATGGACCAGGAAGGGACGGGGCAGGGGTATCCCAGCTGGACCCATGAGAGTCTAGAATCACTGCAGACACTTAAAAACACATTCTTCTCAGAATTCTAGAAGAGTGGCGAGCACATTACAGATCGTTCCCACACCTGCTTCGGCAGCTTCCCACGATGCTGGGGTCTGACGGGGCCACGGCACATTTGTCAAAACTAAGTTAACTAAGCTCCAGCCTTATCAGAGTTTCTCCACTCTCGCCTCTAACGTCCGGTTTCTGCTGCAGGATCCCATCCGGGACACGACGTCACTTGCAGTGGCATCCTTGTTCTCCCTCAACCTCTCACCGCTTCTCAGGCTTCCTTGTCTGCTGCTATCTTGACACTCTCTGAAAGGCCCTGACCAGGTATTTTTAGAACCCTGCGATGTGTGTGTGCTTGCCTGATGCTTTCTCATGATTAGACCAGGGCTGTAGGTTTGGGAAAGAAATACACAGAGGTGACGTGCCCTTCTTGTCATATCACATAGGGGCACAGGAAACCCACATGACATTCCAAGTGAGGACGGCCTTCATTGCCTGCTGGAGGTGCTGTCTCCCAGTCTTCTCCACTGGGCAATCGCCACGTTCCGGTCATTAGGAGCAAGTCACTAAATAGGCTGGGCATGGTGGCTCACGCACTTTGGGAGGCTGAGGCGGGTGGATCACCTGAGGTCAGGAGTTTGAGATCAGCCTGGCCAACATGGAGAAACCCCATCTCTACTAAAAATTCAAAAATTAGCCAGGCATGGTGGCGGGTACTTATAATCCCAGCTACTTAGGAGGCTGAGGCAAAAGAATCACTTGAACTCAGGAGGCAGAGGTTGCAGTGAGTTGAGATCTCACTACTTTACTCCAGCCTGGGCGAAAGAAAGAAACTCCATCTCAAAAAACAAAAAAAACCCACCAAAACAACAACTACAACAACAAAAAAGCAAGTCACTAAATGCAGCCCAGTCTCAAAAACAGGGATTAAGCTCGACCTCCTGGAGGGAGGAGTATCAGAGAACCCCTGGACAGATGTGAAAGCCGCCACAGTAATTAACTGATGTTTTGAGGCTATGCAAATATCCTCTCTCTCCTCAAAGTTCTGCCCACCAATGTCAGCATTCATCAGCAGCTCTCGCCTGTGGCAATTACTACTGTGAGGTCTGAACAGTGGCTTTCTAGTTCCCTCACTTCTTCTACATTCATTGCTAGGAATTCTTCCACAAGGAAGGTTCATCCCTTCATCCCCATCTATTTATGTATTCAATCATGTATTTACATCAGAATGGATTTGTGGATTTTACTTTATTCTCTGGGTTATAATCCAATACTGTCATTCTTTATTTTGTTGCTCAAATTGTTTCAGCCCTGGGAGCTCTTTCAGGTTGGCTCCTGTGTCCTTTGTCCTTTTGATGCGGGCCCCCATTCTGGTTTGGGTTTTTTTGTGTCTTTCAGCCTCTCCTTGCTTTCTGAAGCTGTAAGACGCTTCAGGCTTATCTTGTCTTTTTCTAGCCCCAGCCCCAGAATCAGCCACTTCTCCAAGCAGCCCTGGGGAATGTCAGACACAAAGTCAGGAAGAAAAGGCAGTATGTACCCAAGGAGCTAAACCCATGTTTGTCTGCTGGCCACACTGCTGGAGCTTGGAGGCCTCTTGAACACTTGAAAGAGGAAGTTTATGGGCCGGATGTGGTGACTCACGCCTGTAATCCCAGCACTTTGGGAGGCCAGGGCAGGCGGATCATGAGTTCAGGAGTTCGAGACCAGCCTGGCCAATGTGGTGAAACCCTGTCTCTACTAAAAATACAAAAATTAGCTGGGCATGGTGGCGCGTGCTGTAGTCTCCGTTACTCAGGAGGCTGAGGCAGAAAAATCACTTGAACCCAGGGGGTGGAGGTTACAGTGAGCTGAGATCACGCCATTGCACTCTAGCCTGGGTGACAAAGCAAGACTCCAACTCAAAAAAAAAGAAAAAAAAGAGGAAGTTTGTGGACTTTGTGGCCTCGGGAGAGCCTCTTTGATTTGTAGAGCTTCAGATGCCCCATTTGTACCATGATCAGACTGCAAAGACGGCAAACAGGCTCAAATTCCAGCTCAATGGGTAGGGCCTTCCTGAAGCAGGGTGTTGAAAAGGATCTGAGGTTATAGTAAGGCTCATGGCTAAGACTGCTATGCTCCATTAGTGATGTCTGTTATAGGTGTGAAAGGGGAAGGTTGTGATAGTGCTCCCTTAGTGATGTTTGCTATAGGTATTCCATTAGTGCTGTCTTCCATGGTCTGAAAGGGGAGGGTTGATAGTGCTCCATTAGTGATGTCTGCTGTGAGTATGAAGGGAGAGGGTTGAGGATAGTGCTCCCTTAGTGATGTTTGCCATGGGTATTCCATTAGTGATGTCTGCTGTGGCTGTGAAAGGGAAGGGTTGATAGTGCTCCATCAGTCATGTCTGCTGTGGCTGTGAAAGGGAAGGGTTGATAGTGCTCCATTAGTCATGTCTGCTGTGGCTGTGAAAGGGAAGGGTTGATAGTGCTCCATTAGTCATGTCTGCTGTGGCTGTGAAAGGAAGGGTTGATAGTGCTGCATGAGTGATGTCTGCTGTGAGTGTGAAAAGGGAGGGCTGTGATAGTGCTCCATTAGTGATGTCTGGGTGTGAAAGAATTGTGATAGTGCTCCATTAGTGATATCTGTCAAGGGTGTGAAAGGGGAGAGTTGATAATACTCCATGAGTGATGTCTGCTGTGGGTATAAAAAGGGAGAGCTGTGAGAGTGCTCCATTAGTGATGTCTGCCACAGCAGGTGGTAGTACGAGTGCCACGCCCACCATGTATTTTCTACCCCTGGATTAGGTGGTTTCTCCTATCCTTTCCAGCTCTTTCTTTACAGGATTCTAAGCCAAGACATTTTTTCTTTCTAAGACGTATTTTCTCAGCTTATGATCAGTTGCGTTGGGTAAAAGGATAAACAGTGCCATAAAACCTTTGAGTAACTTCCTGTATGGCAGATTCACGGTGCTCCAGGAAGGGCACAGGGTGACAAGGTCACCCAAGTCCATGAAGACTGTGCCCCTTGCTCCTCCCTGCACTTGCAGCTTTGGAGCCTCATCAGTGAGCCCCAGGTCACCTGCAGCAAGCTCACACACCTGTCACACAGGTTGCCTTCCACATTCTCTTTGCAGGGGCAGCGGCCACTGCGGGAGTCACAGGTGTCGAGGCTGCCAGCGGGATTGCAGGTGCAGGGTCTGCCAAAGAGAAAGGACAAGGGGAAAATGCAACGAGCAGCTTCAGAATGGGAACAGCCCATCCTAGGAAGAAATCTCCCTACCATTCCCTGCTCCCAACATCAGGAGTGAGGCTGACACAGGAGCCTGCCCCGGCTTTACTGTTCCCATCTTGCCAAGAAAGTGACCCCATCCATCAGAGATACTGGGCGTGGTGGCGCACGCTTGCAATCCCAGCTACTCGAGAGGCTGAGGCAGAGAATTGCTTGAACCCAGGAGGCGGAGGTTGCAGTGAGCCAAGATCAGGCCACTGCATTTCAGCCTGGATGACAGAGCAAGACTCTGTCTCAAAAATAAAAAAAAAGTGCTTCTGAATTCATAGTAGGTTTTGTTTTATTTTTGCCATTGTATACTTTCTCAATCAAGTGGTGGCAAACGTGTTGGGGTAGGGTCCACACCCCAGGAGCTCCTGCCTCTCTCTCCCCTTGACTGTTTCACGGGGTACCAGGCTCAACACACCCAGATGACACTCAGCCTCTCCCACCCCTGCTCCCCACACTGCACGCCCTGCTACCCCGAGGCCCAGGAACCCCGAGGATCAGCCTCCACCCCTCTTCCTCTTTGGCTCCCTGGTCACCATGTCCTGCCAGCTCTGCCTTGCACTGGGTTCTGGACTCTGCCCTGCTCTCCCTCTCCAGAGCCAACCCCCCATGCAGGCTGCTGGGGGTGTTCCTGCCGTAGCCTCCACTTGGCTTCCCCTCACCCCTTCCTGCTTTCCACCAGTCCACAGCTCCTCCGAAGGCCCCCTAGATGCTCTTCCTCTGCAGATCCTCCTGCCCTGCTCACCCCTCCGAGCTCCACCTAGAGTGTGTCTCTGAGCCTCTGCTGTGCCTTCCGCCCTACCCCACCCCCACCTCAAACACCTGTCCTTCCCCTGTCCCTGCACTTAAGCAGCACCTCCTACAGGAAGCCTACCCTCCACCCCCAATATCCGCTGAGCTTCCACAGGCCTCAGCCTGGTCTCAACATGGTCTGTTTCTGTCTCTTGGCCTCCCCAGGGGCTGTGTGTCTCTAGCCCTCACCAGAACTAGGGTAAGGTAGCTGCAGACAGGGAGTTGGGGAGGGATGGGGAGGGAGGAAGGGAGGAAGGGGGGAGGGAGGAAGGGAGGGAGGGACTGCCGTCAGCCTGTCCTTCCTGCTCCTTATAACTCAGTGCAGCGTGTCTATACTGGACCACCCCCTGCCCTCACCTGCAGCCACCCTCGCTGATCGAGTGGAACCCGGGCAGACAGCGGTCACACTTCCAGCCGGTCACAGAGGGCTTGCAGGCGCAGGTGCCTGTGTCATCACACTGGAGGTGTAGAGAGCCTGGGAGAGGAAGGACACAGGGCAGCAGAGGCTGGGAAGGGCGAGGGTCAGGGGCTGGGGTGGTGGGGCACACTCACCTGCTGAGTGGCAGTCGCAGGGCTGGCATGGCATCCGAGGGTCCCAGTGATAGAAATTCTCCTGGCAGCGTTCACAGTGTGGCCCAGACGTGTGGTCACGGCAGTGGTGACAGCGCCCGCCGTGGCCCGTGCTTCGGAAAAGCTCCCGATCAAATGTGCATTCCTCCGAGCGGCCGCTACAGTTGCAGGCTGTGGGAAGGTGTGTGAGTCCCCTGTGATGTGGTAGGAGGGGATGTCTGTGCCAGTCAGCCTCCCTGTGCTGAATGAGCAGCAGTGCAAGGAAAAGGGCAAGAGCATGGTCCAGAATGGAGTTCAGGCCCAGCTTGATCAAGGCTACAGCGACTGATCAATTGATTTTCCAAAACAGGACACTCTTAGGAGTGAAGGGGACACCATCAGTAAATACACCAAAACAACAGGCAGAAAGAGGACCCTCCCAGGAAAAACCAGGATATACATCCAGATAGATGGGCACCGATCAGAGGCTGGGTTCCTTCTGGAGTGAGGAGCGTGGCTCACTCCAAAATCTCCTGGAGGTCCTCCAAGCCATAATCATAGTGTGAATCTCATGGTTGTGTGAGGTCACTCAGGTGTACAGAAAACACAAGGCATCTTTTATTTCCCTAGTAAATAATTTTTAAAAGTGTGTGCAGGACTGGCTAGAGCCCAGGGGTGGATCCATGAAAGGTGTGACCCATTTACACCTGCTGTCCTCATGCTGCCACAGGCCAGACGGCAGGCAAGCAAGCACACCCCCTGTAGGTGCAGGGCTGAGACAGGAGAGGCAGGGGGCTTTGGGAGGCGTAAGGAGGGGCCCCTGTGGCTGTGCTGGGGTGGTGGGACAAGGCTTCCCAGAGGAAGTCACGGCTGCGCTGAATCTGAAGGCTGAGCAGTGAGGAATAGGCCAGGCAAAGGCAGGGGGCGCGGGAAGGGTGTCACAGACAGAAGGCGGAAGCTCAGGGGCTACACCACGTCCAGAGACAGAAGCGTGGCCTGGTGCGGGCGTGCCAGGAGACTGACTGCAGGCGGCATGTCATGTGATGGCAGGGACGGGGGACATCGTGTAGGGGCAGTTATGGAGTCAGAGGCTCTAAGAGCTTGCTCCAGGGAGGCTGGGCTGCCATGGTCAGTGGACGTTAGCTGGGAGCACAGGGGGAGCCGTGGGAGGGTTACGCAGGTGACGAACGTTATTAAATTTGTCCTTTAGGAAGCCTCGGACCCGTGCCATGGCTCACGCCTGTAATCCCAGCACTTTGGGAGGTAAGGTAGGAGGACTACTCGAGCCCAGGAGTGAAAGACCAGCCTGGGCAACAGTGAGAGGCGATCTCTACCAAAAACTGCCCGGCACGGTGACGTGTGCCTGCCGTCTCAGCTACTCAGGAGGCTGAAGTGGGACGAACGCTTGCACCCAGGAGTTCCAGGCTGCAGCGAGCTATGATTGTGCCACTGCACTCCAGCCTAGGCCACAGAGTGACACCTGGTTTCAAGAAAATAGCCTCAGCTGCAGGTAGGGGAGGGCTGGGGACAGGGACAGCAGGGAAGAGGAAGCTTCAGGTGTGCAGGGAGAGAAGGCAGGGTCAGGCCCAAGGCGTTGGCTACACCAGACACAAGTTAGACGGGCTGCAGTTCCGGGCATGAGGCGGAATTCAGTGCCTGGGGCTGTCTCAGCTTCAGGTGAGGGTGGGGCTGAAGGGTCAAGCATGAAACCCTGGCTCCCAGGCTGCTGACTGAGAGACACGGATGTGACCACGGGGCTGAGGACATGGTAGAAGCAGTCCGGCCTCTGTGTCCCCACCATGGAGACAGCAGCAGGCTGGGATGGTGGAAGCCAGCCAGTAAGCTTCCTTGGCCTCAGGTGAACTCCCTGGTGGAGGCAGGCCAGCGAGGGCAGCTCCTGCAGACAGCATCCCACCCTCAGAACAACTGTCCCCTCCCGGCTCCAGCTTTGGTCACCCGTGGCCCAGGCCCAAGAGGACAGCGGGGCATAGAGGCCAAGCTGCCTGCCTGGTGAGCCTGTGAGTGGAGATGTGGCTCCTGCCAGCAGCGTCAGCATGGATCTGGCACCCAGCGACAGCAGCTCTGCACGGAGTGCTGGAGGAAACCAGGCTGCCTGGGGACAGGGTGGGGCTTGCAGCTGGTGCCCCAGCCAGAAAAGAAGGCAGTGGGTCCCTGCTGTTGGCCTGTGTCCCTGAAGAAGGCATGGTGGCATCATCCTCTCTCCAGCGCTTCTCTGAGGTTAGGTGGTCAAAGCCACATCACAAGGGGGCTGGGACACAAAGGGCTGCCTGGGGGCCCGTGGGAGAGGCCGGGTGGGCCGTCAGCAACCCTTGGTCGTGGGACAGCCTGGTTCTGATTAGCAGCTGGGTGGGGGCAGTTAACACAAAGAAGCAAGTCAGGGACCTTCTCAGCCTCCCACCACGGGTGCCTCTGCGGGGGTGGAGGAGGTACTGAGGCTTAAATGCAACCCCTGCAGGCTCCCCTTCATCTGGTCCTCATCTCTGCAGCAGCACAGAGACCCCAAGCTGCCTCCCAGGCACACCAGGAGCAGCACAGAGACCGCAAGCCGCCTGCCAGGCACACCAGGAGCAGCCCCCACCGTGAGGTTTTGGGGGGAGTTCGTTCCCCAGCCTGAAACACCAGCCTTGGGTCCCCGATGCCCCATGACACTCACGCAGACACTCGTGGGCGGCCTCGGCGGTGCCCCGGGCCCACGGGCGGTCCTGGAAGAAGGGCAGGCAGCGCTCACAGTCCGTGCCGGTGGTGTTGTGCTGGCACTGGCAGGCCAGCTGGCCTGCGGCGTCGGGGCTACACTTGCTGGCGTGCCCGTTGCACTTGCACCTGGGAAAAGACGTGGGAGGAAAAGGGATCCGCAGGTGCCAGCAGGGCAGAGGAGGGGTCAGTCACCGGGTAGCCCCTGTTTGCAGGTGTAACCCGATTCCACCCTCAATCTTGGCCTCACTGAACACCCACTATGTGCCCTGCGGGCAGCAGTAACAGAACTGACTGTGCTGGTGAGCTCTGTAACAAACCCACCCTGTCTTCACCAGCCTGTGACACCCCCATTTAATCGATGGGCAAACTGAGGCACAGAGAAGCTGCCCAAAGCCACCAGCTAGCAAGTGCCTGCCACAGAAAGCTTCTGCCTGGGAGGAGCCCCACCTGGGGCCTGAGAGGGACCCAAGAAGTCCCCTTACTCTCCCCAGTGGAGAGGGCGCCGGCAGTCACGGCGGCAACAGGTGTAGGGGCCAAGGGACCGCATCCAGCAGCTATCCCTCAACTGCGTCCCAAAGGGCAGGAAAGAGGGCACCCCAAACAGGGACAGCTCCTGACTCACTCCAAATCCCCCATAAGTCTGCATGTGATATGGTTTGGATCGGTGTCCCCACCAAACCTCACGCACACTGTAATCCCGTGTGGGAGGTGGGGCCCCGTGGGAGGCGATCGGGTCATGAGGTTGGAATTCTCCTGAACGGTTTAGCACCCCCCACTCAGTACCGTCGTGAGTTCTCGTGGGGTCTGGTTGTTTAGAAGCGAGTGGCACCCACCCCTCCGCCCTGGCTCTCTCTCTTGCTCCTGCTCCCCCTTCACCTTCCACCATGACTGTACATTTCCTGAGGCCTCCCCAGAAGCCAGGCAGATGCCAGCACCATGATTCCTGCACAGCCTGTGGACTGTGAGCCAATTAAACCTCTTTTCTTAATAAATGACCGTCTCAGGTGTTTATAGCAGTGCAAGAATGGGTGAATACGGGGTCTTTGAGAGCAGCCCGGCCTGTGTCCCCATTCCACACACAGGGTCAGGAGACAGGTAGAATCAGGCAGGAACAGAGGTGCCCTGGGAACCCGTGGCTTACTCGGTGGAGCCTGACCCTGTAAGTGATTGTCCCTGTCCTGAGTGGTCGGGCCGAGCTGCTCAGAAGACAGCCACAGCTTCCGGTCCTGGCCAAGGCAATGGCTTCTGGCTAGAGCCTCGCTGGAGGCGGAAGGGACATTCGCATCCCTATTTCACATGTTAGGAATCAGGCTCAGGTCTTGGAACTGACATATCTAAGCAGCTGAGCTGGAACTGAAGCCCATCCTCGCCGACTCGGTGGGCCCCAAGCTCCTAGACACTCCTCTGGGGCCACTCAGTGGCTCCCTTAAGCCCCGTTCCACGCTCTGCCCTCAGCGGGTGTTGACGAATTGCCGACCGCTGCCTGGGCTCCAGGTGCTTTAGCTGATATGGGGACAGAGTGTGTGGGAGGGCACGTGGCACAGCTTAGCTTCCTCACAGGGCCCAGGGAAGGCAGGCAGCACCCAGGGCTTCTTGGGGTGAGGCAGGTGCCAGGTAATCCTGGGGACAGTGGTCACCAGGGAAGCAACAAGGGCCTGCCCCTGTCTTGGAGGGGGTGCTACAAGCACCCGTCCTATGAAACCCTCTGACCCAGGAAAGGAGAGTGAGACCCACAGGCTACACTGTGAACACGGGCTGTGGGGACCACCTGTCCCCCGCCGTGAGCAGCCACCCCAGCCAGCTGCGGCCTGAGGGTGGTCTGGTTCTGGAGCTCATGGCCACGGCCACCATCCCCGGGGAGCTCCCCTCACTGACTTCCATAAGGGGCAGGTGGGAGCAGAGCGACCCTCGCGGCTGCACGGGCTCTCGGGTACCAGCCCTGGCCTTCCCTGGAGCTCACACACCCGAAGCAGGCACTTGGGCGTCTCGCTGGTCCCCCTGCCGTCTCTGTAATGCCGCCCAAGTGCCTCTGAACTGTGGACGCCCAGAGTCCGGGTCATCCCTGCTTCCGCTCCCACGGCTCATTGTTCACACACAGAGCTGCGTTCCCGTCCTCAGTCTCGTTCAGACCCCTGCTCCCCAATCCCTCGCCCCTGGGTCCAAGCAGCCGTCTCCCGCCCAATTCCTGACATTCGACTTCGTCTCTCCTCTTGTCCTCCCCACTTGGCTTTCAGGGCTTTGGGGTGTTTTAAAAATCAGACTCTGTTACTACCCTGGCCAAATCCTCCCACAACTTCCTCTTGGCTGCGGAGTGAGGCCAAACCAGCGCAGGCCCCGACACTCTGCCAACCTCTGCATGCCCTCCCACCAGCCCGCCCTCCACCCAGCCCCACCGGCTGTCCCTGGTCCTCAGCCCCAGCCTTCCCACTCCCAGGTCCCACCTGCAGCACCAGCTCCCGCCCTCCCCGACCCCAGGCATATGCTCCCCCTTTCCTCCCCTTCCTTGTCATCCTGGTACGGGCTGATGCGTTTACTGGGGAGCAATCTGATCAGTATCTGTCGTCCCCATGTGACTGGGGCAGGAACGCACCTGTTTTCCTCTCTCCAGTCAAAGAAACCTGAGAAATATTTACGTGGAAGACATTCGTGCCTCCTTGTCCCACAGCCCTCCCTGGGCACCCCATCCCAGGTGGCCATGTGCGAGATGGGCCGTGGGACTCGAGGTGGGAGATGGGCCTCTACCCCCTGGGCAGCCCTTGCTTCCTGGAGGGGACAGAGGTGGAGGAGAGACAAATTGCCCAGGGCACTGACGGGTGCTGAGGGCGCATAGGACCAGGACCAGGGGCCACAAGGAGCGCCTTTCTGTAGGCCAGTAACATTCCTATACTAGAAAGGGGAAGGAGGCCAGGCGTGGTGAGTGGCTCACACCTGTAATCTCAGCACTTTGGAGGCCAAGGCAGGCAGATCACCTGAGGTCGGGAGTTCGAGACCAGCCTGACCAACATGAAGAAACCCTGTCTCTACTAAAAAAATACAAAATTAGCCAGGTGTGGGGTACCTGCCTATAATCCCAGCTACTCAGGAGGCTAAGGCAGGAGAATTGCTTGAACCCACGAGACAGAGGTTGTGGTGAGCCGAGATTGCACCACTGCACTCCGGCCTGGGTAACAAGAGCAAAACTCTGTCTCAAAAAAAAAAAAAAAGAAAGAAAGAAAGAAAGGAGAAGGGGCCTCCAGGCTGAGGGGACAACGGACACTAAGACCCAGTGTGTTGGCATGGCGAAGCAGTTGATGTGGGGGACCTGGCAGGAGGTGGGCTGGGAGGGGCCCCAGGGCCTGGAATGGCAGGTGTTCCCTCCCTCTCCCCTGGGGCACACCTGGCTTCTGTGCTCCCCCCACCTTCCCACAGAAGCCACCTTCTGCTCCTGGGTCTGGGTCCCTCCTCTGCCTCCCTCCTCTGCCTACCTGCCGCCCACAGAGAAGTCGGACACGGCATAGTAGTAGGACTGGAGCACCCTGGGGTCCTTGAAGATGTCGTCCCCAAATGTGTTGAGCCGGTTGAGAGAGATGAGGAGCTCAGTGCTGGTGACCCACTCCTGGGGCAGAGGGGAGAGGGCACCATCAGCAGGTTCCAGAGCAGTTAGTGTTTACCCTGTCACTCTGCTGGCAGGTCCAGCTGGCTGCCCCGGGGGCTCCTAGGACACAGGGACGGGCCAAGATCAAGCCAATTCTGAGAACGCTGTGGAAATAAGGAGGCTGTGCTCTGGGGGTCGCCCCAACCTGGGTGCTAGGCCATCGATTAGTGTAAGTCTGTTCAGTGTCTTAGAGCCTCCATTTTCCCATCTGAAATGGAACAAAAATGGTCCCTCCCTACAAAGGTGTCTGGAGGAGGGTGGCCAGTGTTAGCGCTGGCTGTGGGGTCAGGCACATGGTCAGGAAGCAGCTGAGGTTCGGAGGAACAGGGGTCGAAGCGGCTCACTGAAGACCCCATCATGCAAGTCACCTGGCTTTCCCCAGCAGCTCCTGTGCCCCATTCCGGGGATGCAGCTGGGGGATGGTGTGCCCAGCGACCTTCTCCCCCACTCAGCGGGGCCTGGCGTGCAGCAGACCCTGGGTTTCTTGGCTTCTCACATGCTGAGGATCAGGCTCCTGTGGACAGGTCATCTGCCCCAGGTGACATCACTTCCATGAGAGTAGGGACTTGGGGCCTGTTGCTCTCGCTGCTTCCGCAGCGCTGGGCTCTGCCTGGCCCTCACAGGCACTCGATAAATACCTGCTGATCCCTGAATGAGCAGCTTCCCCATGGAAGAGCGTGGCGGGGAAGTCGGGGAAAACCCACGTGCAGACTGACATTTTCATCTGCCTGCTGTTATCATCAGCGGCAGCTCCAGCTGAATATTAATCAGCATTTCGATTCTGCCCAGGAGCCCCTGCTTTAGCAATCAGGCCCATCAGTACAGAAAATGAGCTCCTGGCAGGGGACGGCCTCAGGCCGGTGGGCCCCTCCTGCTTCCCCAGAGCTCGGCAACTACAGCCACTGCCGGGGACCCAGGGCCCTGCCGGAGGATGCCTCGGCCTGGGAGAGGGATCCAGGACCTGAAAGCTACAGTGGGAGCCTCTACACCAGGCTAAGCTGTGCTTGAGTTGGCAGGCCCGGGTGACCCCAGCATGCATTTCCCAAAGGCCAGCGTGCATGCAGGGACCTGGTGAAAGTGCAGCTTCTGACTCAGAGGTCAGCAGTGGGGCTGGGAGCTTGCGTTGCTAACAAGTGCCCGGGTACTGATGCTGCTGGACCTGCTGTGGGAGCAAGGCGCTAAGGCCTGGGGCGGAGGAAGCTCCGAAGTCCAGAGCTGAAGGCACTGCAACTCTTCCTTCTCCGGAAAAAAGCGTCACCTGGAGAACTCAAACCAATGGTCATCAGAGCTGTGAGGTGCGGCGGCAGCTGACGCGTATTGTGTGGTTAGGGCTCAGGCCTCAGTCACCCTGCAGCAGACATTGTTATTACCCCCATTTGCAGATGAGGAGACTGAGGCTCAGCATTCTGTTCCAAGTTGCACAGCCAGTGCATGGTAGAGCCAGGATTCTGGTCCATCTGATCCCAGGGTCCCAGCTTTACCACCACGCCGGTCTGCCTTCCTGTGTCTACTCCAACGCCCTCACACATCCCCGTGGGACCCCGAGATGGCAATGACCTGCTCAAGGTCTCCCACCTCTGCTTTCTGGCCTGGGACCCGAGCCATCAGTCTGCAAGGACAATGGTTGTAAAGGAACAGGGTCAAAATCTCTGAGACACAGGATGGACGCTGGGAGAGAGAAGCCTTAGGCTAAATTGCAGGGGGCTTGCCTTGATGCCTTAAAGCTCATTTTAGGGCCGGGTGTGGTGGCTCACGCTTGTAATCCCAGCACTTTGGGAGGCCGAGGCAGTAGGACCACTTGAGACCAGCCTGGGCAACATGGCAAAACCCTGTCTCTACTGAAAATACAACCATCAGCCGGTGTGGTGATGCTCACCTGCAACCCCAGCTACTTGAGAGGCTGAGGACGAGAATCGCTTGAACCTGGGAGGCAGAGGTTGCAGCGAGCCGAGATCGCGCCACTGCACTCCAGACTGGGTGACAGAGTGAAACTGTCTGAAAAAGTCATTTTAGGGCTGAACCCAGGCACTGGAATTTTGCAACCTGTAATGGCTCCAGCTTAAGCTACGAGTGTGTGCTGGAGTTGATTTTGGATGGATCCCAGGACCCAGGCCGTAGCATTAAGGAGAAGCAGGAGGTGGGAAGCTTGGGCCTGGTCCAAGGGGTACTTGGGCGGCCGTTCAACTCCAGGGGTCTGACGCCGCCACAGCCGGGTCGGCCTTCCCCTCCAAAGTCCTAGGCCCCTCCATGGGGGTCAGAGGGACCCAAGACCCAGCAGCCACATCCTTCCTTCCACACTCCATGTCCTTTGAGAAAGCACCTGCCCCCTAAATGTGACCAGAGGGAGCTTGAGGGGAAAAGGCAGACTTGCCTCTTTGTCCTTCTCTGCTGGTTTCTGTCCAGAAGCAGCAGGGAAGACATTTCTCAAAAGGTCATCTCTCCATCAGGGACAGTGTACAGAACACACAAGGCAACAGACAGAAAACCTCCAACGGCCAAGGGTCTCCCCAGAGTGGTAGCCACACAGAGCAGGTGGGAGCGGGCCGGCCCTCGCTGCCTGTCCTCATCAGCCCTCAGCTGACGCTCCCTCCCTCCATCTCTTTCTCTCTTCCTCTCTTGCTCTCTTTCTCACTTTATTTCGAGAGGGAGTTTCGCTCTTGCTGCCCAGGCTGGAGTGCAATGATGCAATCTCAGCTCACTGCAACCTCTACCTCCTGGGTTCAAGCGATTCTCCTGCCTCAGCCTCCCGAGTAGATGGGATTACAGGTGCACACCACCGTGCCTGGCTAATTTTGTATTTTTAGTAAAGACGGGGGTTTCTCCATGTTGGTCAGGTTAGTCTCGAACTCCCGACCTCAGCCTCGCTGGGCTTACAGGTGTGAGCCACTGCCCCTGGCCTCAGCTGATGTGTTCTAACCTACAGAGCTTTGGAGCCTGGTGGAGAAGAAACGGTAATTTTAAACCATCATGATGACGTGTACATTTTTAGTGTGATGAGCAGGGTCTGGACGTCTGGAGATGTGGTTCTGTGCGATAAAGGATTCAGCTCACCCAAAGAGGGGCCTGGCCCTTTGCCCTGGATCCTGGGGACATGAAAGTATCCCGGTAGCCTTTCATTGCAAAACATCGCAGCTCTGAGCCTCGCAGCTCTTCTGAGTTCCATGGGTCCTTATAGCGAATCACTAAACCCAAGGGTGGTCCTGGGAACCCTGAGACGGCGACTCCACGTGTTTTTGTGCCACCTATCGCCAGCAGGACACAACTTCTTTTTGGGTCTCAGTGTCCCTTCTGGAAACAGGATTCTCACCCTGGTTCCCTTGTTATCCCAGATGGACAAAGGAGACGCTCTGGAAGTCCGGAGGGGAGGAGAGGGCAGGTTCCCTGGGCTCAGACAGATCTCGGGTCTGAACCCAGGGAAATGAGCAGTGGTCTCCAACCCTTTCAGCACCAGGGACGGGTTTCGTGGAAGACAATTTTCCCACAAATGGGGTAAGTGGTGGTTTGGGAATGAAAGTGATCCACCTCAGACCATCAAGTGTTATAGATTCTCAGGAGTGTGTACCCGGTTGCTTCTAGAAGAATCTAACGTGGCTGTGGCTGATCTGACAGGAGGCGGAGCTCAGGCGGGAATGCTTGCCTGCCTGCCCGAGGCTCACCGCCTACCGTGTGGCTCAGTTCCTGACAGGCAATGGACAAGGACCCATCTGCAGCCAGGGGTTGGGGACCTGTGGACTAGAGAGCCGCCCAACACGCCTGCGTGTAGATGAACAGCTGTGGACACACAGCAACGTGGACACAGATGGGTGCGGATACCAGCAGGTCCCCACACCTGGGCGGACCCACGTGGGCGGAACTGGAGGGCCCTGAACAGACCGACATGGCTGCAGGCCTGCTGCCCTCTCTACCACAAGGACAGGGACGGGAGCTGTCGTGCACGCGTATCTCCACAGTATGGGTGGGCACACTCTCCGTGCCAAGCGCCACACTGGTTGGGGTGTGTGCATTCCTGCTACCCCACAGGCGCCTCTCCAAAGGGGCCCCCACTGGCCACATGTGGCTATCTAAAAAATTAAATATAAAATCCACTTCCTCAGCTGTGCTGGCCACATTTCATGGTGGCTGCTGGCACCCTGTGGGACAGTGCAGCTAGAGGCGCTGTCCGCCATCACAGAAAGTGCTGCTGGCTGGCGCGGCCTTACAGCGGGGAACCCAGGGCTCTGTGACGCCAAAGCCCATGTTCCTGTCACGTTTTTCCATTTTCATAGGAGCTGTTGGAGACACACAGGCAGGCCCTGTTATTAACTTACAGGAGGAGGAAGAGAGGCCCAGCGGCGGAAAGTTCCAGAAAGAACACCAGTCGGAAGCCTGGACACTCAGGTGCTGGCCTGGGCCCCTCCACTGCCTCATCTGTGCCCCTGGAAAATGCCATCCCCTCTAGGCCTCAGCTTCCATGCCCTTATAAGGAAGGGGCTGAGTGGGTTGGCGGTCCTCACAGGCTCCCGGGAGCCACAGGGCTCTGTCCCAGGAGGCCAGAGAAGGGACAGCTATGGTCCACTGAGCGGCCCTTCTCCCACCTGGTTCATTAGCAGCATCCGCAAGACTCAGGTGTGGCAAAGGCTTCTGAGGCAGAAAGCTTGAACACCATGGGCTTTGCGGCCGAGTGCAGTGGCTCACGCCTGTAATCCCAGCACTGGGAGGCCGAGGCAGGTGGATCACTGAAAGTCAGGAGTTCAAGACCAGCCTGGCCAACAAGGCGGAAACCCCCGTCTCTACTAAAAATACAGAAAGCAATTAGCCAGGCGTGGTGGCAGGCACCTGTAATCCCAGTTACTTGGGAGGCTGAGGCAGAATCGCTTGAACCCAGGAGGCGGAGGTTTCAGTGAACCGAGATTGCGCCACTGCACTCCAGCCTGGACAGCAGAGCAAGACTCAGTCTCAAAAAAAAAAAACGGAAAACCATGGGGTTCTGCAGGCTCCTTACCCCGTGTCCTGGCACACCAGACCCTCCTGCTGTGACCCAGTCCCAACCCCATCCCGACCCCGCAACCCCCGCTCTCTGACCTGCAGCCCAGGGCTCTCTTCGAAGTTGTAGGCGCTGGGCCGGCCCTCCAGGGTGGAGAAGGCCACGTTGCCCCCACTCAGCGGGGAGATGTCGCTGAACTCAGAGGTGCAGAAGGCCACACGCTCGTCCTCGCCGGGGCGCAGGTACTGGCCCTCGGGCCGGCTGTAGGTCTTCTGGCATGAGGCGCTGTAGAACTGGTAGGGCTCCCACGGGCTGTCCGCTCGGCTGCGCTTGTAGATGGCGAAGCTCTCGGGGCGACTGGTGTGGAACTTCAGCCTCACGTAGGTGATCTCGTAAGCCTTCCCTGCAGCCAGGAAGATGTGGGCTCATTTTCATGGAAGGGGAGGGAGAAATGGAGTCCCGGTCTGGGGCAGCAGATGGCTGCATTGCAGGCACTAGTTGGCAGCTGTCTGGAGCTCCGGACAGGGCATGCCACCATCCATTCCTGATGCCTGGTGGGGCACTGGAGAGGACAACGCCACATGCTTCCCAAGTATTTGCTGTCCCTTTTCTGGGTCACCTTGCTGCCCTGCACAGGAATCTCCATTGTAACACCCGACGGGCAGCCAGCTCTTTTTGCTCAAATATCTCCAGCAAAGGGATATTGCCACATTCTGAGAAAGCCTGCTCTACCGTTAGAAGGTTATTTCTTTTACTATACCCCCAAAAAGCCGATCCTTCCACTGTGCCTTCAGCCGCATTCCCTGGCAATGACTACAGACCTTGTAATCCTAACGAAATCCTCCCCGGACCCCTTATTCCTCCAAGTTTCTATCTTCCTCCTGTTCCAAATTTCCCATGAGAAGTCTAAATCAGTGCCCCATAGCCTCATCTCCCAACTCAGCCTTCAACCTACTGCAACTCAGCTTCTCTGGGCCACTCCACAGAAGACACTGCACTTGCAAAGTTACCTCACCCGCAGCCCCCTATGGCCACAGCAAGGGGCCCCCGTCTCGCCTCATCTCTTGGGTCTCCCCACCACCTCAGAAGCCGCGTGTCCCAGGGCCTGCACCCGCTCTCCTCTCTATTGCCTGCCTCGGCCCCCTTCTGAGCCCTCTGCTTGCTCCCTAAACTCTCAGTGTCTTCTCCCTTCCCTGGGCTCTAGCCCCACTTCCCGACCTGCCTCCAACACCCAGATGGGGGATCTACAGGCTTTAGGCACCTGCCTGCTCTCTGCTCCACCCTAGAAGCGCCCACAACAGTCGGCCTGGCTCTGCCGTCCCCATGACTCAGCTACCCTAGGAAGAATGGCTGTGGTAGAGGGAAGGGGGTTCCTAATTCCCCCTCTTCCCTCATGGATGTTGACAGGCAATGCCCAAGAAGAGGAAAACCCCGACGCGGCAATGAGCCCAGGGCTGGGAGATAAAAAGCATCAGGGAACAGAAGCAGCTCAGACAGCGCAGGGTGGAGAGGGGGGCTGGGGTGCGGGTGTGGGAGAACCGCCGCCTTTCACAGTTGGAGCTGGGAAGTATCTGGCTTCTACGCTGAGTGCGGGTATGCTTTCAACAATATGAAGGAAGTACAGCCTGAATTTAAAAAGGCAATTGCCCACTGCTTGAAATGCCACCATCTCCCCGCATCCCCCAAGTTTAGGACTCCATCCACATACCCCCTCCTCTCAGAAGCCCAACTCAACCTTACGCTCTAATCCCACAGCCCTGACATCCCCCGAAGCCAGAGGAGGGGGTCTCCTGCAATGTGACCCCATAGCTAGCCTCTGCAGAGTTACCTGCTGAGCGCTGGGCTCCCCACGCTAGATGGAGTTCCTCACTGCCAGCACCGGTGTCTCTCCTGTAATCTCTGCACCCCAGTGCCTAGCTATGTGCCTGATTCCTGGCAGGCATTCACTGAGTGTTGGTGCAGGAACGAATGAAGGAAGGGAAGAACGGCCCACACAGGGAGCCCCTCCTGCATGTCTGCTGCTCGCAGTAGCCTCTCACTCTCTGGAGCAGCACAGAACATGCCCAGTTCCCTCCCCATGGGCGGCTTTCTCCTCTCTGATCCTTCCATAACCTGGTCCCAGAGGCCCCCAGGAGGCTGCCTGCTGCCGCCACCATCTTCCTTAGGTGCTGAGGACAAGCCACTCTAGTCCTCTGGGGAAACATCTTGGCTCTAGGTAAGAGCTAAAAACCTGGGCACGGTGGCCATGCCTGTAATTCCAGCACTTTGGGAGGCCAAGGCGGGTGGATTACCTGAGGTTGGGAGTTCGAGACCAGCCTGACCAACATGGTGAAACCCTGTCTCTACTAAAAATACAAAAATTAGCCAGGCATGGTGGTGGATGCCTGTAATCCCAGCTACTTGGGAGGCTGAAGGCAGGAGAATCGCTTGAACCCGGGAGGTGGAAGTTTCAGTGAGCCGAGATCGCACCACTGCGCTCCGGAAAACAGGAGTAAATCTTTGGGACTTTGTGTTAGAAGAGGCTTCTTAGAAATGACACCAAAAGCACATGTGACAAAAGAAAAAACAGATAAGCTGGACTTAATCAGAGCCTCTGTTCTTCAAAGAACATCACTGAGGAAATGAAAAGGCAACCCACAGAGTGGGAGAAAATAGTTGCAAATCACATATCTGATAAGGGACGTATCCAGAATACATAAAGCATTCTTATAATTCAATAATAAAAAGAACCCAATTAAAAACGGGCAAAGGGGGATTAGGTTGCCTGAGTCCAGGAGTTTGCCACCAGCCTGGACAATATGGTAAAAGCCCATCTCTACAAAAAATTTTAAAAAATGAGCCAAGCATGGTCGCCTGTCCTCCAAGCTACTTGGGAGGCTGAGGTGGGAGGATTAATTGAGGCCAGGAGGTGGAGGCTGCAGTGAGCCATGATCACGCCACTGCACTCCAGCCTGGGCACCAGAGCGACACTCTGTCTCGAAAAAGAAAAAATTAAAACAGCAAAGCTTTTGAATAGCTATTTCTCCAAAGTGAATATATGAATGGCCAAGAAACACAAGAAAAAATACTTCATACCATTGGCCAGCAGGGAAATGCAAGTCAAAACCATAATGAGATCCTCTTCACACCCACTCAGCTGGCTGGAGTCAACATAGATAATAACAAGCATTGGTGAGGAGGTAGGGGGATTAGAACCCTCATACACTGCCGACGGGAATATAAAATGGGGCAGCCACTTTGGAAAACAGCCTAGCAGTTCCTCAGAATGTTAGAGACACAGTTATCACAGGACCCAGCAATTCCACTCCTCAGCACATATCAAGAGAAATGAAAACATGTAACATCCATCCACACAAAACGTAGACATGGATGTTCACAGCAGCATGCTTTGTAACTGCCAAAGCATGGAAGCAACTCCAGTACCCACCAACTGGTGAGTGAATCGATAAAACGTGGCCAATCATATGATGGCATAGGATTGGGCCACAAGAAGCAGCGAAGCACTGACACACGCAACCACAAGAATGAACCACGAGAACATTCTGCTAAGCGACAGAAGCTAATCACCAAAGACCACGTATGACGGGATTTCACGTCCATGTCCAGAACAGGCAAATCCACAGATAGGAAGGAGACAGGTGGTTGTCGCAAGATAGGGGTTCAGGATGGGGACTGGGAAGGAACAGAGAGTGACTGCTAATAGGTACAGGGTAATAAAGGCGTTTCCAGCCAGGGCCAGTGGCTCACACCTGTCATCCCAGCACCTTGGGAGGCTGAGGCTGGAGGATCGCTTGAGCCCAGGAGTTTGAGACCAGCTCGGGTAACATATGGAGATCCTGTCTCTTAAAAAAAAAAAGAAGAAGAAGAAGAAATTAAAAGCTGAGCTGGGTGTGGTGGCTTGCATATGTAATCCCAGCTACTTGAGAGGCTGAGGTGGGAGGATGGCTTGAGCCCAGGAGGTAGGGGCTGCAGTGAGCTGTGATCGTGCCACTGCACTCCAGCCTGGGCAACAGAGAGAGACCCTGCCTCTGCACCCCCCAAAGAAAGATATTCTAAATTGACTGTGCTGATGAGTGCACAACTCCGTGTATATACTAAAAACCACTGGATTGTGTACTTGAAATGGGTAAGTTGTATGGTATGTGAATTATAGCTCCTAAAGCTGTTATATATACTATGTATGTTATTGTGGTGTTATGATAGATACCAGTTTTCAGGCCAGGCGTGGTGGCTCACACCTGTAATCCTAGCACTTTGGGAGGCCGAGGTGGGAGGATCACTTGAGCCCAGGGGTTCGAGACCAGCCTGGGCAACATAGTCAGACCTTGTCTCTAACAACAAAAAAAATACATATATATGTGTATTTTCATCCACAGCTCCTGCCTCATGACCCCCAAAGCCTCTTTATGATCTTTTGTGAGAATTTTGGGGTTGTTGGGCCTCAGGGTTGGGCCTCTGCCCTCTCCTGTCCTCCTTTCTCTCTGAAGTTGCCCCACATTTCTGCCTGTGGGTCTTAAGACCCTCAAAGACAGGATTCCACCCTACACCCAGGGGAAGCAATGCTGATGCATGAAGCTTCCATAAAAACCCAAGGACAGGGTTCGGGAGCTTCTGGATGGCTGAACACGGGGCGGTTCCTGAAAGGTTTCATCCAGGGAGGACACGGAAGCTACCGCCCCTTCACCGTTCCCCACCCTGCTCCTCTCTTCATCTGTGTCCTTCGCAATGTTCTTTACAATAAACCGGTCAATGTGTTACCCTGAGTCTGTGAGCTGCTCCAGCAAATTGACTGAACCCAAGGAGGGGGTCGTGGGAAGTTGAAGCTAGTCAGTCCGAAGTTTCTAAGGCCTGGACTTGTGACTGGGGTGTGTGGCGGAAGACAGTCTTGGGGACTGAGCCCTCAACCTGGGGGATGGGATGCTACCTCTGAGTAGATTGTGCTGGAACTGAATTAGAGGACACCGACTGCTACCGCTGCTTGTTATGTGGGGGGAAAAGCCACGCATTTGGTCCTAGAAGTCTTCTGTGTTGATGATGGTTGTGGTCTGAGAGCAGAGGAAACACACAGTTTAAGAGATTTTCCGTACACAGTTATCTATGTGTATAATTGGACCTCACATCCATCAGGATGGCTACTATCAAAAAAACAGAGAATAACAAGTGTTGGGAAGGAGGTGGAGAAACGAATCCTCGTGCTCTATTGGTGGGAATGTGAAATGGTGCAGCCATTACGGAAAACTGGCGGTTCCTGAGAAACTGAAAACCATGCATCAGTTTGACAGCCCTGGAGCAGTTACTGTCTGCTAAAGTTCCCGCTACACATGCAAAACCGCGCCCCGAGCTTTCCCTCTGCTTTCTGTGGCAGCCGAGATTGAATAGAGGGATACAGGAAAAAGCATGGAG